CCGCGCCGCGCGGGTGTGACTGACAGCGCCCGGGGGCAGCGGGACTCAGGGCTCGCGGGAAGGAGGCGCAACACGGCCGCTTTGTGCGCTCGCTGGGAGCTCCGGAGGTGTCTCCTCGCTCTGGGGCTGGCGAGAAACGACTCGCGTAGCTTAGGTTTACCGTGAGAATCGAAATAACTATCTCCCTTGTGCTGGGGGAGCGTCCCGCCTGCTTCACTATTTCTGACTCCAAAGAGCTATTGGCTGCATTGGCAGATACCTCCGCATGCCTGGATCCCAATTAGTATCGTCTGGATAACCAGCAGGGGGATTCCCGCAGAGTTTCAACTCTAGGATGGGGCCAAATTCGGAAAGTTTGTCTATCTACTTTGTGGTGGTTTCAGACTGAGATCCTGCAACCCATTAGTATGTAAGGACACTAAAAATCCAGAAGAGATTTATGGAAGGTGCATGTTTTGTACTCAGAGCTTAAAAGATTTCAGTGACAGTCTTATTTCATATAGGTTTGATCTGAGGAAGTGGGTCTGGCCCACGAAAGCTCATCAGCTAATAAACCATCTTGTTAGTCTTTAAAGTGCTACATTGTCCTGCATTTTGCTTCAGCTACCCCAGACTAACATGGCTACATCTCTATCATTATTTCATATAGGACACTGAAACCCCAGAGTAGGTGGACTATGAGAGGATTCTATGTTTTTATGACGGTTAAGTGAAAATGTAGTGGAGTAAGTGGGGAGGAATCTTAAAGTGCAGAGAATGGTCACATATAGTATTCTTCCTGAGGTGTTGATTGAAACTAACTTACATCAGGGTCTCTAACATTTCATGCCAAAGCCATTTTGAGCATGGCCTGTTGTGTGTAGAACCCTGCAAATCCACGGATATGCACTTTATATTTGCAGGTATCTGCCTCTGCAGGTAGCCACAGCTTATTTGTGCAGATATGGATGCAGATACACATTTTGTATCTAGAACCCTTGTAAATGTGTGGATGTCTGCTTCATATTTGCAGGTATCAGCATCCACAGATATAATTGTAAATATCCATGGCTTACTGCAGATGTGAATACAGAATTTTGTATCTGTGCAGGGCTCTACTTTATGTGCATATTGAGGCACTGATGAAAGATGGCATAGGCAACTTTCTTCCTTTTTTTGTTTTGTAATAGTGTTGGAATCCTGGGGGTGAGAGTGAATAGATTGTCAAAGGAGGTGAAGTGTTTATACATTTCAGGGCTGGCACAATAAAAGTATGTGAAGTGTGTGAGGTAAAGGGGCACATGTCAATGTTGAGAGAATAGAAGGCTGCATGGGGTGGTTTTCAGACATTTTCCTGGATTTGCTCAATTAATGTTCTGCGGGGGGTTGACATATCACAAGTAACCTTAAGTCTGTACTAATTTTTTTTTTGCTGTTTAATTTAATATAGAATTAGTAGAACAATTAGGTCTAATCTTTCTGTACAAGGCTCCCATGAACATCAACTGGAGTTCTACAATTAGCAAAGTAGAAGGACAAACAGCCCCCCACATCAATACTGTGATACCTCTTACATGAATCTCATTAAACGCTGTCACTAACCTATTATAGTTCATGTTACATAATGTTCTACACAAATTTAGCATCAGCTCACTTTTATGATTTAAAATGTAAATACAAAATTATGAAACTTCAGTAACAAAGTCATGTCAGGCATCACAGAAACGTATTGGAATTACAACAATCAATGGGACAATGTAATACCAGTAGGGGCTGTGGATATAAGAGGCAGGGGAAGGGATTGCCTTCCCCAGCCACTAACCTAGCCTCACCCATACTCCACCCCTAGAACACCTAAGGCTGTGGAAAATCAGCCGCTTTTCCGGAATAAGCTGCGAGCTGTCTACACTGGCCCCTTGAATTTCCGGAAAAGCAACGATGCTCTACTGTACAAAATCAGCCGCTATTCCGGAAAAACTATTCTGCTCCCGCTCGGGCATAAGTCCTTATTCCGGAACACTGTTCCGGAAAAGGGCCAGTGTAGACAGCCCAGTAGTCATTTCTGGAAAAAAGCCCCGATCGCGAAAATGACGATCGGGGCTCTTTTCCGGAAAAGCGCATCTACATTGGCCACAGGTGCTTTTCCGGAAAAAGGGCTTTTCTGGAAAAGCAGCCTGCCAATGTAGACGCTCCTTTTCCGGAAAAACTGAAAACGGAATAGTATTCCATTTTAAGCAGTTCCGGAAATTCATGCCAGTGTAGACACAGCCCTGCAGTAGGCATACTGGGGGCAGAATGTTGCTGCCTCTGAGCGCCCACCCTCCCCATGCTTCAGGGGCCAGGGTCTGGGGTTGCATACCTCCTGCCCACTCCGTGGTGCTCTGGAGGTGGGGGGGGGAAGCTGAGCCAGAAGGGGCAAAGCTATTCCCACAGCCCAGGAATATCACAGTACAAAATATACAGGAATGACTGTATGGAAGACTGGCACTGTATGAAAAAGAAAGCACATTCAAATATAGTAAACATTTTCAGTTACTCAAACCGCACCACAGAATCTCTATGAATAGTAACTCCATGCTTGAATAATAAAGAGTACTGTATACCAGTAGAACTATATTACTGATCAACTGATTAGGATAATGATTACGGTATATATGACTGGGTACATGTCACATCAGGATGAGAAGCAGAAATAAAGTTTCTAAATACCATTACTGACTGCTTCTTGAGCAGCTAGTCCTGAAATCCACAAGGAAAGAGAAGATTCTTGATTTTTTTTTTTTTAAAGAGCACAGAAGCTGCTCCAAG